TCCGTCATGGTCTGTCATGGTGTGTGTGTGTGTGTGTGTGTTTCTGTCTGTGTCATGGTGTCTGTCTGTATGGTGTGTGTGTGTCTGTCTGTGTCATGGTGTCTGTCTGTCTGTATGGGCTGTGTGTGTGTCTGTCTGTCTGTGTCATGGTGTCTGTCTGTATGGTGTGTGTGTGTGTCTGTCTGTCTGTTTCATGGTGTCTGTCTGTATGGTGTGTGTGTGTCTGTCTGTGTCATGGTGTCTGTCTGTATGGTGTGTGTGTCTGTCTGTCCATCATGGGGTGGGGGGGGTGTCTGTCTGTCCATCATGGGGTGTGTGTGTCTGTCTGTCCGTCATGGTCTGTCATGGTGTGTGTGTGTGTGTGTTTCTGTCTGTGTCATGGTGTCTGTCTGTATGGTGTGTGTGTGTCTGTCTGTGTCATGGTGTCTGTCTGTCTGTATGGGCTGTGTGTGTGTCTGTCTGTCTGTGTCATGGTGTCTGTCTGTATGGTGTGTGTGTGTGTCTGTCTGTCTGTTTCATGGTGTCTGTCTGTATGGTGTGTGTGTGTCTGTCTGTGTCATGGTGTCTGTCTGTATGGTGTGTGTGTGTGTGTCTGTTCGTCTGTCTGTCATGGTGTTCGTCTGTATGGTGTGTGTGTGTCTGTCTGTCCGCCATGGGGTGTGTATGTGTTTCGTCCGGCTCGGGGTGTGTGTGTGTCTGTCTCTGTCATGGGTGTGTGTCTGTCTGTCATGGGGTGTGTGTGTGTCTGTCTGTCCGGCCATGGGTGTGTGTGTGTCTGTCCACATGGGGTGTGTGTGTGTGTCTGTCTGTCCATCATGTGTGTGTGTGTGTGTGTGTGTCTGTTCGTCATGGGTGTGTGTGTGTGTGTCTGTCCGTCATGTGTGGTGTGGGGTGTGTGTCTGTCTGTCCGTCATGGGGTGTGTGTCTGTCTGTCCGTCATGGGGGGTGTGTGTGTCTGTCCGTCATGGGGTGTGTGTGTCTGTCTGTCCGTCATGTGTGTGTGTCTGTCTGTGTCATGGTCTGTCATGGTGTGTGTGTGTGTGTCTGTCATGGGGTGTGTATCTGTCATGGTATATGTGTGTTTCTGTGTCTGTTTAAAAATAGTGTTTTTGCTCACCTTTTTTTTTTCCCCACGCAGCGTGCTGGTCTCCCCTCGACTGGCCCTGCCTCTATAGCTGAGATCATCAAGCTTGATGATCTCAGCCAATCCAATGCTTTGCCATAGGATTGGCTGCAAAACGCCACTCCAATCAGCATCTTCTCATAGAGATGCATTGAATCAATGTATCTCTATAGGGAACGTTCAGCACCTACAGAGTGTGGAGGCCCTGAATGTAGGTGCATGTGAGTATGCTTACTGTATAATTAAACGTTTTACCCTGAAAGGACCAATATTTTATATTAGAAAAAGCAATATATATATATATATATATATTACTCAATCATCTGTCATGGCAAGACATAGCCTTACATATTACATGCGACAATATATGGCGCAGTGACTTATGGGGCTGGCACAAATTTTTTTTTCAGGGCTGCTTTGTATCCCCAGTCCGGCCCTGACTGGGAGCGTGAGTGAGCTGTGCAGGAAGAGCACAGAGATCCCAGCCCAGCAGCAACACAGTCACACAGACAGACAGTCACCCACACACACAGACAGGCAGTCACACACACACACAGGCAAACAGTCACACACAGGCAGTCAGACAGACAGTAACACACAGGCAGGCAGTCACACACACACACAGGCAAACAGTCACACACAGGCAGTCAGACAGACAGTAACACACAGACAGGCAGTCACACACCCACACACACAGGCAAACAGTCACACACAGGCAGTCAGACATACAGTAACACACAGGCAGGCAGTCACACACACACACACACACACACACAGGCAAACAGTCACACACAGGCAGTCAGACAGACAGTAACACACAGACAGGCAGTCACACACACACACACACACACACACAGGCAAACAGTCACACACAGGCAGTCAGACATACAGTAACACACAGGCAGGCAGTCATACACACACACAGGCAAACAGTCACACACAGGCAGTCAGACAGACAGTAACACACAGGCAGGCAGTCACACAGACAGTCACACACACACACACACACACACACACACACACACACACACAGGCAAACAGTCACAAATAGCCAGGCAGTCACACACACACAGACTTACCTCTTTCCATTATGGCTGGAAGGGGGAGTGGAGGCAGTTATTTGTTGGGGAAGCAGGGACTCCTTCCTTCTTTCCACTTCCTGTGCAGCAGTTACCAGGGGCTTCGGGTAGGTATTAGCCCGGCCTCCGCCTCATGATAAGCCCTGGCCCCCACCGCTCGGTAAGCCCAGCCCCCGCTGCCTCAATTAAAAAAAAATAATAATTTTGTAGACCCGGGTGGAGAATAATGAAATCCTCCACCAGGGTACCCGTTTTCGCTCCCCTGACACCCCTGACGGCCACACAGCTCACACACCCCTAAGGCCAGCCCTGTGTATATCTGTGGTTGTGTGTGTATATAAATGTGTATGTGTTTAGTAGATAGCTTCCTAATTTGGGTCCTTAAATATGTGATTCCCACATAAGGAGGACCCGCCCTGGGTGGCGTCAGTGAGCTTGTCTGTAGTGAATCTGTGTGTTAGTGAGCTCTTCTGTAGGGAGCATGTGTGTGTCAATGTGCTTGTCTGTAGGGAGAGTGTGTGCGCATCAGTGAGCTTGTCTGTAGTGAGCGTGTGTGTGTGACAGTGAGCTTGTCTGTAGTAAGCTTGTGTGTGTATCAGAGTTTGTCTGTACTAAATTTGTATGTGTACCAGTAACATTGTCTGTGTGTGTCATTGAGATTGTCTGTCAATGAGCCTATTTGTGTGCATCAGTAAGATTGTCTGTGTCTGCATGTGAGCATGCTTTACTGTATAATTTAATTACCCTAAAAATACTAATATTTTGAATTAGAAAAATAAATATACCAATAATATATATATCACTACGTAGCACAACGACTTATGGGGCTGGCATAGATTTTTTTCCAGGGCTGCTTCATATCCCCAGTCCGGCCCTGTGCCCTGGGTGCCAAATGCTCTGGGTACGCCCCTGCTCCAGACCCTTAAAGCACTTTAGTTTGCTGGGAAGCTTTCCGTGGGATGAGTGTGCCCTCTTTTTTCATTTTGCAAATAGTGTAGCTTTCAATAGAAACTGACCCTTTTTATAAATGAACATTGTCTTTTAACTTCCTGGTTTGGTTAGCTCAGTGGAGCTAAACTCAAGAGGCAGCAATTGCCCAGAGCATCTGCCTTGCAAAGACTTCTCATTGAGCTGCACTGGGAAGTCTGTGATTGGACAGCCACAGAAAGTCTGGGCGCGGTTAGAAGGGGAGGGCTTGCAAGGGCAGCAGACAAAATGAAAATGCAGGTTCTGTAAACTGTTTTTAGGTAAAAGCCCAATGAAAAAATGCATGCAAGTAGATATACCCCAAATGCAAACATTGTTTAGTAGATGTACCTCAAATTAAGTGGTGTGTCCCTTTAAAAGCTGTCTGGCTTCATGGGAAAAGTATTTTAGAAGCAGCTGCAGTGCCAAGGAGAGTCGTCGGTGGTATAGAATCAGACAATATATAATAATTGAAATAATACTAATTTCTCCAATATTTTGAGCTTGAGTGCAGCGCGAATGTTTCCCCTGCTTTATTAGTAGAGGGGACATTGTCGCTTATTATGGAATTGGAAGTGTAATTTCTTTCTCAGTATTAAAGGGGACTCGGGGTTAACAATCGTGCCAATATTACGCCTGGGATTTTTCAGGATCCCGCGTGGGGCTTCATCCCCTGTTAACCCCCAATAGCAATGTCACTGTTATTAAGACTAAGACAGGTAAAGGATGATGAGGGCATTGGGGGCATTTACATTTATGGGGTGGGGGATGATGCAGGGATTAAGGGGTCTTATATATAAGCTTTGCCTATTGTCACTAAGTGTAGAGCCACCTCTGTTTCCTGGGCTCACTTTCTGGGCAATGGGCACAGTGGCTTCCTTGGATATTGTAGAAATAAATATCAAAGCTCTGTGAATTTTGCTTCTAATTCTTCATCTGGCTGACACAGTACTTTCCCACACAATTGAGCACCAATGACGAGGGGAGGCAAAGCACAGGGGAACCGGACCCCCCGAGTGCTATTTGACCGGATTCAGGAAAGAAGAACATTGGATTGGGAGAGACAGGGTGGGGGTTGAACAGACACACAAGGCCTCAGTAGGTGGAACGAGACACATAAACGGAGCATGTAGGGCTCGAGGGAGACACACAAGGGGGGAAATGGAGAGAGACACAGTGGAGATACTGGACCCACGGATACTGCACAAAAATAGCACACTTTCAACGCACAACGCGTGGTCATACATACTTTTTGTTAACATGATACAGAATTAATTTGCACCAATCTCTGAATTAGGAATTTTAGACATTTGTTAAAGCCATAATCCATCTCACCACCCCCCAACCTGAGAGTTTTAGTATTGGGGGTCTTTCTACGTTTCAGATTCCATCACCCACCCAGCTTTATCAATGTAATGTTTGACTTTATGTCTTTCTCTTCTCTGAACGATTTCCTCACACAAGCACCTGCTTACCTGTGCGACTAACCCAGGGTTATCAACTAAAGTAAGAATTGTTGGGAATTAAAAATGAATTTAAAGTGGATTTTAACATTAAGGCCATAGTAACTGAGTAGGAAAAATTCTCCAAGTCACCAATGCTTCCCAGTCAGCTATTTTGGTCTCTAATTTGACATTCACTTTGAATCCCTGGCAGTTTTCTCGTTAGTAAATAACCCTCTCGAATTGCCAGTGTGTAAGTAATGCTCGAGATTCCAGGGTTCAGTAAAATAAAGCTATTTGCAAATCATCTGACGAGATTAAAAGTTAAACATTTACACACAGAGTTTTCTTTCCTGCTCAAAACGGCAGATCTGAAAAGACAAAAGAAGAGAAATGTTCTGTATATGTGGATTGTGTTTATATGTTCAGGTATGTGCTATGGGAATGATTTAATTGATCTCTGCTCCAGGATAAAGAGGGCACAGATTAAGCAATTGTATTAACCCAAGGCACGATCTTTATATGTGTATGTGTTATGTTTGTGTGGAAGTATATGGGGGTTTGATAATGGAAGAAAAACCAATAAATATATATTTTTTTAAATGCAGATCTGAAAAGACGTTCAGGAATGTAAGACACTGACAGGGTTATTTACTAACTAAACCGTGAATTATCTGAAACTGTGATCTTTGAACAATCATGGAAGCAGGGCATAGCCTCTAGAATGTAACCTCATTTAGCAGGGCCTCCACCTCTCTGTCCCTGTACGTCCATTTGTCTGGTGACAATTACATGTCTGTTAGTCCACCCATTGTACAGCGCTACGGAATCTGATTGCGCTATATTAGGGGTGATTATTTCTGATGACTTAAAGGTAGGCAGACAATGTAATAGAGCAGCAGGAAATGCTAGCAGAATGCTTGGTTGTATAGGGAGAGGTATTAGCAGTAGAAAGAGGGAAGTGCTCATGCCATTGTACAGAACACTGGTGAGACCTCACTTGGAGTATTGTACACAGTACTGGAGACCGTATCTTCAGAAGGATATTGATACCTTAGAGAGGGTTCAGAGAAGGGCTACTAAACTGGTTCATGGATTGCGGGATAAAACTTACCAGGAAAGGTTAAAGGATCTTAACATGTATAGCTTGGAGGAAAGACGAGACAGGGGGGATATGATAGAAACATTTAAATACATAAAGGGTATCAACACAGTAAAGGAGGAGACTATATTTAAAAGAAGAAAAACTACCACAACAAGAGGACATAGTCTTAAATTAGAGGGACAAAGGTTTAAAAATAATATCAGGAAGTATTACTTTACTGAGAGGGTAGTGGATGCATGGAATAGCCTTCCAGCTGAAGTGGTAGAGGTTAACACAGTAAAGGAGTTTAAGCATGCGTGGGATAGGCATAAGGCTATTCTAACTATAAGATAAGGCCAGGGACTAATGAAAGTATTTAGAAAATTGGGCAGACTAGATGGGCCAAATGGTTCTTATCTGCCGTCACATTCTGTTTCTATGTTTCTATATAAATAATAATAATAATAATAATAATAATAATAGCATGTAAATTACATTAACCTCCCCAGTACAGGACACACTGGTGCATGGACACTCTGGAATGTTAAACTTTATGGACTCATGCAGCATTTCTGAACAGATGGAAGGGGCCTGATCAGCATCTGAGCAGTAATGTCAATATGAAACCCTCTGCAAAGACACAGGACTTGTACAGTGTGGCCTACAATTTGTACATCCCAGTGTAGTCAGTTCCCTGATTCTTCAACGTTAAAATGTATATTTACTAAACGGTTGACTTTGGCAAATTGGAAACAAAACTGCACAATTCAGGCTAAAATATCCAAGTTATGTTTATAGCTGGTTTTCCTAACGTTTTGCAATTCAGTACAAATCGCTGTTAAGTTAAAAAAAAAAAAAAAAAAGGAGAAAACGCAAATTTTTTATTTTATTCTGTAAACAGTGAACTGAAATGAATTGAGATGAAAATGGTAACATTTCGGGTGGGAATAAAAACTGAAACTTTAGTGACGCTAAAAAAGTTATCCGAATATGGCAAGTTTGGTCTAAATTTTGCAATTTGGTTATATGTTAATTAATCAAAACCAGTGAATAAATCCACAAACACAGCTTTATTGATTCACAAGAGTTCTGTTCAAAGTTATTCTGAGTTCAATGGCAAAACTATTTAATTTCTTTATTTACTATACTGAAGTAAAACATGAAATTTTCACTAATTTGATGGAAAAAATGTTCTTCTCAGTGACTGTTTACTAACCATTAGCTCCATTTTTTCTCATTGAGTATTTCTGTTTTTTTTCCAAACTAATATTGCTGGGGATAAAGCAGATTATGTGTAAGAATTAAGAAGAGCGAAACCTACCTTTTCATGTCTCGAACCTACCGCCATTATATCTACGATACTCCTAGTCTAATTCAAGTTCAGTGATCCTATACATATGTTTTGGCTTCACGTGGTTCAATCAGGTCATTTTAATCTACCAAATTGCTACACTATGTTTCTATCCAGAATTTATTATGCAACTGGCATTATTCTCTGCGAATCTGCATTGCAGAATGCCCTGCGTGTTGAGTCCTACTTTCTGGACAATAATTCATACCGACGAGTGTGTGAAACAAAGGCTGTTTATTGAATAATTAATTTAAACATCAGAATGTAATTATTAGAAAGATAACACCACTCTCCTGTATCAGCAACGTGATATATTTCTGGTACAATGTACATTTTATGAAAATGTTGTGGTTTGCTGATTTTTCTTTTAAAAAACGTCACCTAAATAAGATAACTTTCAAATGAGGAATAAACGCGACATTTGGACTTTCCAAAAAACTGAGAATTTTGTGACAGATTCTTTCTTTGCTAACAAGGTAACAGTTATATTTTATTGTATTGTACCCATTTAGGGTTAATGAGTCTTTGGACTTGTTACTTCTTGTTTTTGTTTTTCTGTTAAACCATTTCCGAGCCATTTGACAAAAATTGGGGTTCTGCCAACACCCAAAGCCCAGCCCCATATCTGCTGAAAATATCATTTGGAAGCTTTACTTCTGTTTTAGGCAGCCGTTTCTGCAAACTTTGCACCCATGACTTTCAATTTATATCGCGCTGAGTGACATACTAATCATTATTATTATTTTATTATTTATATAGTGCCATCATGATCGTTGATGTATGTCTTTACTCAATATTAACCGCCTTACTACCAAAGCATGTTTTGTTTGAAAAAGTATTTGGTAATTTTGTGAATAGGTTGCTATTCAGACAATCCTAAAAAAAAAGAATTATGTAAATTTAAACAATTTTTATTTTTAAGCTATTTGGGAAATAAAACGCTTTAGACAGTATTATATTATACCTTTGCAATGTCACACAAGGTATGAAATGTTCGAATAAAATAATTATTCTCACATACAGTAGGTGTGACAAATATTGGTAAATTAGTTTAGTGAAATACCTTGTTAATAGATATTTGTAAGGACACTGAAGACATTGCTAGCGGTGCGGCCTTCAGAGAATGACAAATTAATATTAAATGAGGTTTTACTTTTAGGTACAGTGCCCCATACAGTGAGTACTGTAGGAATGGTATGATCCTGATGTACTAAAATCTACATTTAGTTTATTAAAGGATTTTTTCCAACCTTTCTTACTAGTTAGTAGAACTGCCCCCAGCACACAATTAATAAAAATCCCTGGACGTTCACTGAAATATTGCATATCCTGACTCCAACCACCATGACTACATAAAAAGGAAGTGGTCATGGTGGTTGCAGTAACCCTTTAATCTTTGATGATTTTCAGTTATTAAAGGGAAATTTCCTGCAATGCTGCCAGGCTCACCAAATGAACTTTGCCATGACCCATGCCATCATGCCAATCTAGGGTTATAAAGCACTCTGGGTAAAGTCGCATATAATGGATTCAAGGAAAGCTGCCGTGGTTTAGCCTGTGCTCAGTCTGGAAGAAGATTTTTTACAGGTATAGTAATCTGTGTTGTTTTGGTAACAAGTATCGTAACTTGTCAATTTATAGCTAAAAACCATTACCCATACTTATTAAAACACAATATTTACATACCTGTAAGACAGATACTCATTTTATTCACATACATTTTGGTATTCAATATAGGTGTAAAAACATAAAACATCATCATTTATTTTATTGTATCACTTGAATAATGTGTTGTTTTTTTTTTTTTTATCCAAAACTAGAAGTACATTGATTAAAGCAGGTGTAAATGAGCCTGCCAGCAGGGGGAGCCTTGGTAATGCATTATTCATAGTTCTCGAGTTGAGATTCATTCATAGGGAAGACATTCGCAGCCAAGATTTTGTTCAAGACATCAAAATATTTTGGCAGCTTTGCAAAGTCACAGCTTAAGTGAGCACAGAGGGTGTTTAACTATTTTAAGGCTGGGAAAAACATGAATTAAACCATTATTGGAGGAACCAAAGAATGGACCAAGGAATCGAAAGAAGCCGAGATTTTCGTTTTCATTGCGCGTCAGTGAATGCAAGTTTTGTAATTTGCTCCCTTACGATATCCGAGGTCTCGGCTGAATTCTTAATGCCATACTCTCACGCCTCACTATGCCTCTCCTATTTAAATTATATACTCTGCAAATCTGCTTAGAATTGACCCAACTGTAAATCCAATTGTAACAGTTATTCATTGTTATTTGATTGCTGTGGTATCGATTACTGTGTACCATTCAGGTACATCAAGAAGGAAGTAAGGTCCTTCCCCTAGAGAGAATGCATTGAAGCCCTTTAATTCACAAAATGGCCTCCCGCTGTGTGTGACTCGCCGAGACATTATCTAGTAATGTACATTCTCAAAATGTCTACTGAAATCTTTACTGTTTTATTATTTAATTGAACATATGCAAATGGCCTGTGTTATGTCCGTATGTTATCTGTCTATGAATTTATACTGTGCATAAACGGAGGTTTCGGAGTATGCCAAGGTGGGTACGAAATTACTTTGTGTAAAATGATACCGCCACACCATCTTGCTCATTAACTTGAGCTGTGTAATGAGGAGAGCTGGACAAAGGGATCACTTTGCCAGAATTTACAGACTGCCGCATTGGGTTTTTTTGTTTGTTTTTCTAAATAAAAAATTTTTTGAAGAATTTTCACATGATAAAACCATAGCACAATGACGTGATGAACGGTTAAGGCATACATACAGAGTTACAAATGTCTATATTGGATGAAATAGGATACACTGTGTCTCTGAATCAAGTAATGCGTCTCTTATTGGTAGAGAAAATATTCAAAAATTTAAAAAACAAAGACTAAAGAAGAGTATAAAAGGAGGGGAAGACAGAGAAGGGAAATAAAAAAGAGAATAAGAGAATTGGAAGGGGGGAATGAACCTTGCGAACTCTCAATTTCTAGCTCTCAGCCCCCACAAACGTTATAGAAACGCGTCGGAGTAATAAGTGACCAAATTATCTAAAATTTTGCTTCAAACAAGTTAGAACACTAAGATATATTGTTTTTAAAAGAGCACATTTGTAGAATTTTTTTAGGTGCAAAATATTGCATTTTGAGTTTTTCACTGAATTACGAATTATAGAAATTCAACTGGTGAATTACTCATTTCAGGCCAAAAAAAGCTAAATTAGAAAAGTTTTTTTAGCTCATTTATTTCAACCTACAATCTATGAATTCCCCACAAACCGTACAGTATTAAGTGAACACCATTAATCCATCGTGACGCTTGTTTCTTGTCGATCGTGACTATGTACGTGAGGGGATTAACCCCATAATGACCACTGAGGTGTTGTTCGAACAGCCGCACCAGAGTGATTAAGTTATGCTTGCAGGATACACAGATATTTTTAAGCTGATTAATATCTTCTGTTTTTGCATATTCCCTTCCAGTTCATCATGTTTAGTGCTGCAAAAAATAAATAAAAAGCTGCAAGTCTTGTTAATTGTGGAGATAGTAGTGATTTGTATTTTTATTGGGACGTATATACTTGCCAGCGGCAGGGTTAAGCACCGTATATATTTTACAGGTGTGAATGAACATTGAAAAAGCAAGTTACTGAAATTTCATCTTTAACCCTTTAGTGACCAGACAGTTTTTCAATTTTCTCACCGTTAAGGACCAGGGCACTTTTTACGTTTCTGCTGTGTTTATGTTTAGCTGTAATTTTCCTCTTACCCATTTACTGTACCCACACATATTATATACCATTTTTCTCGTCATTAAATGGTCTTTCTGAAGATGCCATTGTATTCATCATATCATACACTTAAAATAAGATGAAAAAATTAAAACACACTTTTTCTAACTTTGACCACCAAAATCTGTTACACATATACAACTGCCAAAAAACACCCGTGCTAAATAGTTTCTAAATTTTGTCCTGAGTTTAGAAATACCCAATGTTAACATGTTCTTAGCTTTTTTTGGAACGTTATAGGGCTATAAGTACAAGTAGCACGTTGCTATTTCCAAACCATTTCTTTTTTTCAAAATGAATGAAAGTTACATTGTAACACTGATATCTGTCAGGAATCCCCGAATAACCCTTCACATGTATATATTTTTAAAAAGAAGACAACCTAAGGTATTAAACTTGGTTTTTTTTGACTCTTTTGATGCAACTATTTTACCACCAATCTAAAAAAATAATAATAATTGGTGATTTTTTTTGACACACATAACAATTTTAATAATACCATGTACTGAGAACTTTAAGGGTTACTGCCAAAGAACACCCCAATATGTGTTCAGCAACATCTCCTGAGTACAGCGATATCACCCATGTATAGGTGTGTCGGGTTCTCTGGGGGCTAAAAGACCTTATTTGGAGGGTGTTTTCCAACTTGGAACACACCTGGTCATCATCATGCACCCGTGTCCCATTTGGGACATTTTTGAATCCGGACAATATAATTTACCCCCATCAAACCATATATTTTTGAAAAGTAGACACCCTAGGGTATTTCAAATGGTGGTATTTTAACACTTTCCTTGCACTAATTCTACCACCAGTCTCTGTAAAACATTTGGGTAGTCATTTTTTTTGTGTTATTTTTCACACTTATTCTACTTTAGGCATGGATTATCAGCTCCTGTTAGAGGTTACTGCCAAAGAACACCCCAAAAATAATAATTGGTGATTTTTTTGACACACATAACAATTTTAATAATACCATGTACTGAGAACTTTAAGGGTTACTGCCAAAGAACACCCCAATATGTGTTCAGCAACATCTCCTGAGTACAGCGATACCACCCATGTATAGGTGTGTCGGGTTCTCTGGTGGCTTAAAGACCTTATTTGGAGGGTGCGAATTCCAGATTTCTGGACATTTCTGAAGCTGGCCAATGTAATTTACCCCCATCAAACCATATATTTTTGAAAAGTAGACAACTCAGGGTATTCAATATGGAGTATGTCCAGTCTTTTTTAGTAGCCACTTAGTCACAAACATTGGCCAAAGTTAGCATTTATATTTGTTTGTGTGTTATAAATGCAAAAAACAATTATGAATGCTAAGTTTGGCCAGTGTTTGTGACTAAGTGGCTACTAAAAAAGACTGATCATACCCCATTTTCAATATCTTGGGTTGTCTTCTTTTGCAAATGG